GATTTTGGTTTCTAAATACAATTCTCCACTAAAAGGCATAAGGGCTCCTTGGAGAAGAGATTGATTCCAGCGCATGAATAGGGAAAGTAGGTGAGCCTGGAGCATCTTGTGGTGCCAGGAAGTAATGAATGCTAAGAAAACAAAAAAACAAAAACAAATAGCAACATTGAAAGGGCATAAGAGCCAACCTAAAAGAGCTCCCATTGGCCAAAGTTAGAACAGCCAGAGCAAACAAATAACAATAGTACTGGATTATACCCCAAAATAAAATAAACATCCATGAGTCTATACTAATACAAGTGAGTAACTGAATAAACAAACAGACAAATAAATGAGAGAGAAGCGACAACTCTTTCTTACAGTGGAATTCCAATTAAACAGGTGAAAGGAATGAGAAAAACAGAAAATCACCATTAGAACTCCACATGCCGAAGTCAGTGGGCAAAGTTTAAGGAAAAACATGGTATTTGCAGAGCTTCAAAGTCTCTCCCCCCCAGACAGTTATAAGTTACAAGGGGACAAGTTGTCATTTTACAGTGGAGAAAGCAGTAGACATCACCTTAGTCAAATGACCAATGTCGACACCAGCAGTCATACATACAGACTCGATGCACTGAGAGGGCATCTCTGCGTTGTCTTTCCCAACAACACATAACTGTATGAGAAAACTCAGAAAAACCCAGACTGAGGGCTTCTTCAAAATAACAGTCACGACTCTTCAGAAGTATCAGTCACAAACAAGGAAGGACCGAGAACCTGTTACAGACTGGAGGAGACTCGGGAGACATGACAACTAATGGAACTTGGGGTCGTGTATTAGATCCTGACACAGAAAAACGACATTATGTACAGGAAAAACTCGTGAGAGTCAAACAGCCTGTCGTTTAGTTAATGTAACCCACGTGAACGTCCTAGTTTTGATAACTGATTTCTGATTATGGAAGATGTTAACATAAGGGGGAGCTGGGTGAAAGCTATACTGGAACTCCCTATTTTTGCAATTTTTCTATAAAGCTAAAATTATCTCCAATTAAAACAACAAATTAAAAATACAAAGAAATACATGGGGATGGTAAGCACCAGATTCAGGATCACAGTTAATTCTTGTGAGGAGATAGGTGATGGAATCAGGGAGCTCTCACAAGAGGCTTCAAGCATGAGCAATGTTTATTTCTTGCTCTGTGGATGGTATACAGACATTTATTTTTTAAATTACATTTGTATGCCTGAAATAGCTCATAATACATTTCTTTGAAGAGCTTCAGACTTTATAGAGACATCTGCCTATAATTTATTCATTCACTCCACATTATTGAGTACCTATTAGAACATGTGGTTCCTGTCCTAATTCCATTTCAGCCTCTACTGGGATTCAGTCCTGCTCCTGTGCTGGTTGTAGGCCACAGTCTCTGTCACAACTACTCAATTCTGCCATCATAGCAAGAAAGCAGCCACAGACAATATGTATTGAATGAATATGGCTGTGTTCCAACAAGTTATTTACAAAAAAAGCATGCAGGGAGCTTGCTGACCCTCAATGTAGCTGACTGAATAGAAGTTAGGCGAGTTTTAATTAACAGAGACCACAGGGTGGAGCTCTGACCGTGCTTCCACACTCAGCAGACCTTCCATATTTATGGATACAGATGCACCGCCACTAGTAGATGCAGCTGTCCCATCTTCCAAACCCTGGCTCAGAAATTCACTGCTACACGGCCAACTTCACACCAAGTGTCAGCTACCGAGAAAGAGGGAGCAGCAGAGGGATCCTTCTGGTGGACATTTCAACCTTGAAACTGAAGAACTGACTCCACTATTCCAGGGAAGACCTGGGGAAAACCTCCTTCCTGTCTGCTTGTTTCTCCATTTATTTGTTTTGATTATTTTACCTTTTATTACAGGCTCTACTGTAGCATACCAAAATTAGTTTTAGACTATTTATTAAACATTTCAAATCAGTACTTTAAGAAGACACTTATTAAAATCTAAACCACCTGGTTTTCTATTATTTGCTAAACTTTAAAAAAGTTAATACCTATAGTAGAATCCAGGCGGTGGGTATCCAGCTGTTCACTGTTGGGGGAAAAGGGGAGAGGGGACAAAAAAACCAAAACGGGGGGCTGGCCCATGGCGTAGCAGTTAAGTGCGCATGCTCTGCTTCGGCAGCCTGGGGTTCACAGGTTCAGAGCCCGGGTGTGCACTGATGCACGGCTTGTCAGGCCATGCTGTGGCAGGCGTCTCACATATAAAGTAGAGGAAGATGGGCACAGATGTTAACCTAGGGCCAACCTTCCTCAGCAAAAAGAGGAGGACTGCCATCAGATGTTAGCTCAGGGCTAATCTTCCTCACACACACACAAAAAACAAACCTCACAGTCTTTTCCCACTGTGCTGGGTGAGATGGCAGGGCAGGAAGGAACCGGCCCAGCCCAAGCAGAGAAGGCTGCAGGACTGAGCCAGCAAGACGGAAGGGCGCAGAGAGAGGAAAGGGCATGGGAAAAGCTCTTGGTGGTCACACAACACCTGTGCCGGGGATAGGTAGGACTTCAGGTTTCAAGGAGCAAGTTAAAGGGATAAGGTTTGTTTCTCCCGTTTTCCCTTTGTTCCTCTAGCTCCCATCTCCAGACTGGACACATCAGGGTAAGTCTGAACTAGGCCTTCAGGCCAGGCTCTAGCACTAAGGGGCAAAAGCATTTTCACCAGAGCAGAGCCCCTCCTAACTGCAGGATAACGAGCAAGGAGCTATCGACTGAGAAGAGGCAGGAAGCCTGGGAACACACTGGAAAGCTTTTTATCCCATCTAGCATCATGCATATGGAGGAACAAAACTTAAAGTTCTTCAAAAAGAACAAGCTTTCCATCTTTTTTAAGATACTTCTCCTCCACTCCACCCCTAATTCCAGAAAATTCATCTGTAACCAAGGATTGCTTCAGATATGCTGAGTGGAAGTCATCAGAGTTAGCCAATAAAATGGTAAAAACATACCAGCATCACATATACACAGCCCTCAAAGAATCAGAACCCATAAGAAAGGAACTTAATTTCCAAACTGAGATACCATTTACTAGAAGGAATTTAGCAGAACTTAAGAAAGGTAAAGCATTTCTCTGTACTTCAGCATGTTCTCAGCTTTGAATTGCTCTTCTGATAGACATCTCCTTGTATTTATGACTGAAAAGTTAGAGCTATAGACTTAAAAACAAATCTCCAAAGATACACAAACAGCCAATAAGCACAGTATCATCGTCACTAGGAGAATGCAAATCAAAAACACAATGAGACATCACTCCACTCACACTAGGATGGCTGTGATTTTTAAAAAGGGAAAATTAGTGTTGGCAAGGATGTTGAGAAATTGGAACCCTTGTGCATCGCTGGCGGCAATATAAAATGGAGCAGCTGATGTGGAAAAGTTTGGTGGTTCCTCAAAAGGTTAAACACAGAACTACCAACGCCCCAGGAAATCCACCTCTAGCATACACCCAGAATTGAAAGGAGGGATGTGAACAGGTATTCATACACCAACGTTCCCAGCAGCCTTCTTCACAATAGTCAAATGTGGAAACCACCCGAATGTCCATCAACGAAGAACGGAGAAATAAAATGAAGTATATACACACAATGGAATATTAACCAGCCATCAAAGGGAATTAAATCTTGGTATATGCTACCATAGATGGACCTTAAATCATGCTAAATGAAATCAGACAGACACAGGACAAATATTGTATAACTCCACATATACGAGGTACCTAACAGGCAAATTCAGAGACAGAAAGTAGAACTGTGGTTACCAGGGGCCGAGGGGAAGTCATTGTTCAATGGGTACACAGTTTATGTGGGTGATGATGAAAAAGTTCTGGGAATACATAATGGTGATGGTTACAGAACATTGAGACTATGTTTATTTTTTTTATTTTTATTATTTTTGTGTGTGTGAGGAAGATCAGCCCTGAGCTAACATCCATGCTAATCCTCCTCTTTTTGCTGAGGAAGACCGACTCTGAGCTAACATCTATTGCCAATCCTTTTTTTTTTTTCCCCCTAAAGCCCCAATAGATAGTTGTATGTCATAGTTGCACATCCTTCTAGTTGCTGTATGTGGGACGCGTCCTCAGCATGGCCGGATAAGCGGTGCGTTGTGCGCACCCGGGATCCGAACCCAGGCTGCCAGTAGCGGAGTGTGCGCACTTAACCGCTAAGCCACGGGGCCGGCCCTGAGACTATGTTTAAACGCCACTGAATGAACACTTACAAATGGCTAAAATGATAAATGTTATGTCTATTTTACCACACACACAAAAATCAACCCACAATTAGTAATTCAATGCTTACTATGCATATGGCATTAGGCCAAAAGACAAATGTGTGCTCACCATACACGGATTTCTTCTCCATTTCACACAGATGTAGGCAAACGGGGATTAATGATAGAATCATGCCTTCTGTAAGGCCACATACCTTGTCCAATACAATCAGTAAAGTGGCCTATTGTGAAATGCTAATCCATTTTCCAGGCCCAACCAGACCCCAAAATACACCCTTTATGAAAGTCAGCTTCAGGGGACTTCGAACACATTACAAACAGCACACACTATTTCCAGCACACAAGAAACACCAAACCCCCAGTACTCCCACCCCCTCCGTGAACTCTTCTCATAGAATCGGGTCTATTGGAAGGAAGATGTTTCTGCTGAGGTCTCCGATGATCAAGAACCAAGACACAGTAGCTTCAAAGGTACAGAGAGTTTTGTATCTGACGTCCTTAAAACCAAGAAATAGTATATTTTATTTTCAAAGTAAAGGGTGAGTATTTCACCTTAGCTTTCAATCCATGCAAAATTTACTGTGGAATGATCCATGTGGACTCTGCACAATTCTTCTCAGACATAATTTACCTCAAGAGAGACAAGAGCCTAACAACAAAACATGCTATTTTCCAAGTACTTTGCATTATTTGAAGTATGTGAGGATGAAAAGCAGAACTCTACAGCTTATCTTAAAAGAAAAAGCAAGTTCCAGGAGTTTTTATTGTCTGACTAACAGAACGCACAAATCCAGGCAGAGAAGTCCCCAAGGAATGGCGGGCATGTCTCCCTGTTGTCTGCCCTGTGGTCCTTCATCTTCTAAGCACTTATTATATTTCCTTTTAAAGATATGAGACATTTACTTTGCTCACAAATGTAATCCAAATGTGAATAAATAAATGTATTATCTCTTAACACTCCCCCTTCCATGTTCCTTTAAATAGAAAAATGCGCTAAATGTCTCTTCATAGCCTATTTGGCCATAGCTGTCCCACCCATGGTTTTAAAAACAGACTGTAACTTGATCTTCCGAAATCCCCTCTTGAACTACAGTTCATTCTGTTAAAGAAATCCTGGGAGAAAGTCCTATTGATATTGTCGATAGTCTCCAAAAGGTGAGGACGGTAACTGGGCTGAAGGCAACTGGGAGGGGTCTTCAGTAAACTGAGGACCTGTGATTAGAAAGAAAGAAATTGTAAAAACCATCTGAATATTACATAATTAGACTAAATCAACCAATTCAATAAAAATAATGTGCTGCACTGAGCTGTGATCTGAATTTTTTTGTAGGTCTGCCTAATTCCCTTAAGAGTACCTTCAAGTGTGGATAACATACAACAGACTGGCTTCTCTTGTGCTCCAGAAGGAACAGCTCTCAAACGCTGTGCCAGGAGCGGCAGGTGGATGAATCAAGGCAAGAAGCATACTCCAGTTTCTAAAGCAACTGCTGTAACAAGCGGCCAAATGAAGAGTCTCTCACCCTCCTGACATATCTTTCAGTAGCTATTTAAGATTATTTTCACACAGTTGAAGTACCTTAGTCATGTTTTAATCCATTATACAACCAGTTAAGTAGGGAATGAGCCCTGAAATGGGAAGACATCCCCTAGCTTGCTGCAGAACAAAGTCTTGTAACGTTTAGTTTTCAAAGGATGAAAGGGCCTGTGAACTAAGAAAAAATGTGGCTCTTTAAAAAAAGACTTTTATGGGAATAATCACTCTTTATATCTTCAGGGAAATAAGCAGATTAAAAAGTATCTGGAAGGAAGAGAAAGAGGGCAGTGATAATATTCCCTGAAACTTTCCATTGCCTTAATCCAATGACCTATTTTTTTTTTTCACTATTAAAAGCATTATCTGTTCATTGTAGAAAACTTGAGAAAATACTGGGTGAAAAAGATAAGCCAAAGATAACCATTGTTACCATTTAGACATGGTTTTATCTAATTTTTTTCACTGTTTTAAGAACTTTTTCATGTACATTAATTGGAAAAACATGATTAACTTTTCAAAGATTTCTCCCCTACATGAGCTATTCAGAAACACATCTCCTGTCTAAAATAAAATGACCTTCTTTTGGAGATTCCCTCTGAGGAAAAAAGCCTACAGCAAAGCAAGCAAGGCTAATTTCCATTAGACGATGTAACTAAATTTTTTAAATTAGACAATGTAACTAAATTTTTGTTATATCAATTTCTGAATTTCTGAAAATATGGAACTTTTCTGATTGTGAAGTCTTTCACACTCAAGTGGTAAAAACAAACTAAAAAGCAAAATTAGAAGGTGACCATCACTTTCTAAAAAGGTCCCTTCTAGAAAGGGTCCAGGAGGTCATCTGGATCCCCTGTGGGCCTCTAAGGAGCAGTGCATGTGAACTGTGTCAAAGACACTGACTCTCTCTCGAGGTGCCTCAGGGACACCAAATCAAATTGGGAGCTCTGATCCGTTCCTAACTCTATGAGCAATCTTTTCCAAGCTCCAAAAATAATTTTCAACACGTCTCACTATTCTGCATATTTCCTTCTTCCCAAATGCCAGGTCAAGTTTTCACTACTATAATCCTCACGGTATCTTTCTGCTTCCTTCCAATGTCAAGGAACATCCTCACTTAGACAACTGAAGTTTTCTGCAGTTACAAGAAACTGCACAAGTTAACAGCTGAGCAGATATTCCATGACAATGTAATGATCACTTAGCCCACAATTTAACTTTTCCCCTATACATCGGATAAGAGTAACAATTAGCAACAAATTATATTACCAACTTCTCAAAAAAACTTTCCCTGTGAACCCTCGAGTGACCCTCCCAAACAAGAGCCACCTTCCACCACTCTATTTCACTCTCTTCAAAGCAAGTACTACAATCAAATAATCCCACATATCTGTTAATGCGTCAGTCTGTCTTCCCCACCAGAATGGAAGTGCTTATTCACCGCTTGATCCACAGCGCCCAGAACAGTGCCTGGCACGTCCATGAGCAGTATGAAGCTGCGGGGTGACTGCCGTTATTGTTACACATCTGCAAGGACCGTTCTTCAAGCGCCTCTAGAACGGCCAGCAATTTCTCAGAATCAGCAAATGAGCACCGATCAAACCTGAGAACTCTAAGGAAAGAGCAAGAGCAAATGACCTAACCAAAGCATGTTGGTTACTGTGGTTAATCAAACACAGCGACTGCACCCACGTCCACCTTTTCAAATAGAACCAGAGCCTGTTATAATCTGCAGGAACCAGAGCATATTATTACACAATGTAGAAATCACAAAGTACCACATCTTAGCAGACAAAATATGTTTTCTTTAAACATCAGGAAATCATTCCAAAATGTCTGAGCTATGGTATTAAGCAGAAAGAAGACTCACCATTGGGAAATTGTGCAGAGGCAAATCTTGTCAACAAGATACCAGCTCCTTCAATTAAAGCTAGGAGAATGCCACCCATCGCGGCTGACCCGACCATGGCCACTGGTCCATCTGAATACATTAACAACAGAGAGATGACTTTACTAGAAATCCAGTTTAATGAAAGACATAGTAAAGGAAAGAGCTGTCCATATGGCTACATGCTACCCCCATTCCCAAACCCTCTTTCCCCCCTGGCCAAGACCAGGGGTCAACAAACCATGGCCCACAGGTGAAACTCAGCTCACTGCCTGTTTATGTAAACAAAGTTTTATTGGAACAGCCATGCTCATTCATTGATTTATTGTCTACGGCTGCTTTCATGTTATGATGGCAGAGTTGAGAAGTTGTGACAAAGACCTCATAGCCCACAAAGCCTACAATATTTACTATCTGGTCCTTTATAGAAAAGGTTTGCCAACCCCTGGCCTAAACCACTAAGCCCAAAGAATTCTGGGTTACTCCCTGTCCCAAAGATCCAGAAGACGGTTCTAAGCTCTTTATTCATAACAATGCTATGTGGCAGGTATGACGATTAATTCCACAGTACTGATGAGGAAACTATGGCACAAATAGTTTGGTAAACTGCCCAGTCACATGGCTAGCAAATGGCAGAAGTGGAACTTAAACTGCTCTTAACCACTGTCATATACGGGTTAGAACCTATGCTCTCGCATTCTCAAACATTGCAATTAAACAGATCCCTTACTTTTTTTTTCCAAATCACCATATATATTCATGTTATAGCAAGTTAAGCAATTCTCGGTTTTATATATTACAGATGTCACCAAATTAAGATAGATGAGGTTTTCCAAAAAGTCTTGCTTCTACTGGCATGTCTATAATGACTGCTTACTTCTTGCTGCCAGGATGGCTCCTGTCAAGGCACCACTTGTGATGGAGTTCCAAGGGTCTTCTTTCCCTCTGACTTGAACCATACTGCAGTCGATCATGGAAAACAGACCTCCCCAAACAGCAAAGCTACCTATTGTATTTAAAAACAAAACAATACAAATTTCATTTTTTCATCTTACATTTTAAAATATTACTGTCAAAAATAAGTTTAAATAACAACACTCATTATAAACTCTCACACTCCAAATACACACAAACTCAAGTCTGAATGAGCACTGAACAAGTCAGAACATTTGTCTTTTTAACAAAGTTTGGGTTGTATCATAGCAGTTGGAAAATGAGCAATGGACCAGAGCCTAGAAGAAACGAGCCAGGCCTGGAAGATCAGGCTAGACACATTCAATCTCCCTTTCAGAACAATGTTTCTCTGCTTGAAAAGCAACACACGAACGAAACCTGCTGCTCCTCCTTTCTTCTCCTTTTCTTTTCTAGCTCTACGTGGCAAATCAATGATGCAAACAGAACTATGGAACACCTGGGGATGGAAGTTACCTTTCCACTCTCCTTTCTATCCTTTGTTCCTCAAGCAGGAAACTAAAAACAACCCTCAAGGCCCCAGGGAGAACTCCAACGGCATCTGTGTCAACACGCCCACACCAGGCCACAACAATGGCCGCCGCCAATGTCCCAGTCCCTGGAGAGGTCTCACCTCTCTCTGCAATGCACTCAGAGCCTATCAGAAGCCCAGTCTTGCGTATCTCTTGGAAGCACATCCCTGAGTGGTCCCTCCATCCACTGCCCCTCCGCTGCGGTCTGTATCGGCATCCTCCCAGGCCTGGACGCCTACTCCGGGAGCAGTGACTCTGAGTCCAGCTCAGACAGCGAAGGTACTATCAACGCCACCGGCAAGATCGTCTCCTCCATCTTCCGAACTAACACCTTCCTCGAGGGCCCCCAGCTCCCATGTCCTTACCACCGGGAGCTCCTCCCCAAGAGTAGACCGGATGTTCCTTCTGCCTTCAGGCATTACCTCCTTCAGAAAACTCCTCTGCCTACATCCTGTGCACATCGAGACATTTTTAACCTCATCTAAAAATGTGCCAGAATTTAAATAAATAAATAAAAACAACCCTAAACCAGATTATTTTGCACTTAAAAATAAACTCTTCCTAAACACAGTAACAATTCTGTAAAATAGAAAACAAACACCTACACATATACTTGTATAAGTACACACAAAATCCAAAAAGACAACACCAAGAGTTTAACTGTCAGCATCTCTGGGTGACATAACAGATGATTTCATTTCTCTGTGCTTTTCTTTTCCAAATCCTCTAAAAGGAATACATATGACTTGCACTACATGAAAAGACTTGCTATATTTACTAAGATTAAAGAAAGAAGGAAAGCTGCACGAAGGAGGCCTGGTCACTTTCTTCTCCGTCCTCCGAAATCTCAGTGGGGATGTTAATAAGGACAATAACCTGGGTTCCACCACATCTGAACCAGATCATCACCAGGATCCTTCCCAGTTCTCATACGGTCAACTAAACCTAGTGCCTGTAACAGCTGAAGCACAGCATAAGTCCTCTCATTTTTGGTCCAATACTAGACATCACATGCTATATATAAAAAATAAACTAGTTCTTTCGTCTAACTTGGTAATTCTCTGCCCTGGGAGAGATGATGCCTAGTAGATTAGAATCACCTCACTAACCTCCTCAAACGACTCCCCCATTCCCTCAGAGAGTCTGAAATCTCCCCATCCCCCGAAGAATAACTGCCAGAGTGAGCTACTATTACTGATGAGTGTGGACACTTTGAGTCCAAGCAGGGTGAGGAGCAGTCCATGGAGAAGCGTGGCCCAGGGTGGAGAGCCAGAGCCAGAGCAGGCTGAGGAAGGGTCCATAAGGAGGGACTGCCTGGCATGGTGCACCAGTGTATTCACGTGGAAGGGCGGTCTGGTGTGGGGTGCCACAGCCCACCAGGTCTTCATATGAAAAGGGAGAGGGAAATAAGGAACCTGTGGGGCTGGACTGAGATTAGAGTATGAATGTGAACTCACGATTTTCAGTATGTAGAGATACATAGAAATATAAATCTGTGTATGGATATGGATGCAGTTACTGTGTGTTCATATATATAGACACACACATCTGCAAGCTCTATGACAAAGAAGGCCGGGGACCAGCAACCCCCAATAGCCATGATACATCTGTGCCCAAGTTTGGGCTTCTAAATACCGTTCTTAACTAAAAGGAAGCAGGGCTCCTAGCAGAAGTGGCTGACACTAGGGCTAGGGCGGGGAAGTACAGACGAGCCTGGAGTATCTCGCTCTAAAACGCAAAGAGGTAAACATGTCAAAAGCACATCTTCCTTCCCCTGTGAAAGTACAAGACTCGTTAGGACTCAAACATGACTTTTCAGGCTGCCTGTCACTGAGTCTTTATTGGGAGAGCTCAGTAAATGGTCACTAAGTTAAATTGAAAATGTCATCCCACTATTTTTAAAATTCAAGACACCATAAAGATTTCTGAATAGTTTCCTTAAAAAGGCCGATTCTGGGGCCGGCCCGGTGGTGTAGTGGTTAAGTTCGTGCACTCCACTTTGGCGGCCTGGAGATCACAGGTTTGGATCCCGGGCATGGACCTACACACCACTCATCAGCCGTGCTATGGCGGCATCCCATATATAAAGTGGAGGAAGATGGGCACAGATATTAGCTCAGGGACAAACTTCCTGAAGCAAAAAGAGGAAGATCGGCAACAGGTGTTGCTCAGGGCCAATCTTCCAGCCCGAAAAGAAAAACAAAAATAAAAACCAAAAATGCCGATCCCAAGGATTTGAAATAAATGATCCCAACTGATTTGTACCACGATATACTTTTCCTCTATTTCACCTTGACTGTGTTTTTAAATCAATTTTAATTTTAGAATAGTTTGAGAGTCATAGAAAAGGTGTGAAGACAGTACAGAGAATTCCCATACACCGTATACCCAGTGCCCCCAATTTCCAACCTCTTGCATTAGCGTGGTGCATGTGCCACAATCAGTGGCCCAACAGTGGTACTTTATTTACTAAAGTCCACACTTCATTCCAATTTCCTTCGTTTCTATGTCCCTTCTCGGCCCCAGGACATATTACATCCAGTCGTTGTGTGTCTTTAAGCTCCTCTTGGCTGTGACAGTTACCTGATTGTTTTATTATTCACTCACCATGTGTAATGCGATAGAAGCAGCCTCTCAATAAACCTGTTAAAACCTGTATGACTTCTGCACATACAGGGGTTCAGGGTTTGGTGTGCACTTTGATACTACTTGTCATTCCTGAACAACACAGTAACCAATAAATCAAAGGAAAATTAGTCACTACTTACTTTCCAGGGCGTACAATTATCACAGAGGGAAAAAAAGGAAAGAGATATACCACCATGTCAATCCCTAGTGCCTCAACTTCCTCGTCTGGAAAATGGGGATAACGGTACTTACCCGTTGTGTTGCCATGAGGATGAAATAATGCCGTGAACACTCAGCAGAGGGCTCGGCACCAAGCAAGTACTCAATAAGTGGGAACTACTCGCTACTGCCCTCTACAGAAAAACATGCTAAAAACAAAGGGAAGGCTCCTTCTTCTCACACACACAATTTCTCAGGGATGACAAAGTATTAAGTTTTTTACACGTGTTATATATGGTCTCTCCCACCCGACTATATCTTTGTAAGTGAACATAACCTCCAAGCTTTTCTATCATCTCTCTTCTCCCAGGTTCTGCATAACCAAGTGTAGAAGCATAATGAATATGATCTTTTCACATTCTGCACCAACCTCTCTGCACAGTGTCCAAAAGTGAACCCTGGAGAGGAGCCGACTGGCTTCTCTCTCAGGAAACTCCAAGTCTCAGACCACATTCTCTTCAGCTGTGTGTTACCCCAGAGGCTGTCACTCCTGACTCTCACAAGCCTGAGCTAAAAACACACTGTCTTCCTTCTGGATAAGAGGAAAAAGCCAAACCAAAACAAAACATCACTGAGCGTTTGAAGGACACAGACAAGATTTTCAATTGGATGCAACAATTCAAGTTAACTTCCTGAATACACCATAAGTAAAGAAGAACCCACAGAGATATTAATTTGTAACAAGCTGTTAGACCAAACTAAAACACCAATTGGTGTAATCTAAAAGAGAAGAACAAAACAGAGCTTCATCTTCAAATACACAGAAGACAGTCTGGAGTACAAATGCAAAAATTCTGCTTACCTCCCAACTGCGGAGCCCTGGTTTTAATAGCTGTCAAACTCCCGCGTAGTCTGTGGTTTACTCCCTATAAAGAAGCAACCAGAAATATTTTAGAAGTATGGTATTTCCAACCTACTGATGGAGCCACCAGTGATATTAGGTCTCAAGTGATGATAAAAGAAGACCATTCGCCCACTTACCACTGGAGAATTGCGAAAGCCTTTGACTGCTTGAAAGATACCACCACCTATGGTGCCCATCGTAAAGGCCCCACCGCAGTCATCCACAATTCGCCAGGGGCTAAGAATAGGGGAAAAACAAAGATGACCATGTTTCTCATTCACAAGCCATCAAATCTTCTTTGCTAACACAGTAGGGAACGCAAGATTCCAGTGCAGGGCCCACTGCAACCAATAAACATTTGGCTCATAAAATAGAGACAAAGATAAAGGAATCTGAACATCCCCATATTTACTCAGCCCCAAATCATCTAAGGTAGAAGGAATGAAACAGGCTTTAACTCCCTACTGTTAACAGCACTTCATTCATTTCACAATAAGTGTATCCATTACAAGTCAGGCACTGTGCAACAGTGAATAAACAAGTATGTCGGAAATTACATTATGACCAACAATTGATCCAGTCTCCTAGGGATCAGGGTAAGCTCTCCAGCCGTAAAATTTAAAGCTGAGACCCGAAGAATGAAGATTCAATAGGTGCAGAGGAAAACAAGTTTTTAAAAATTTTTTTTTTTTTAAAGATTTATTTATTTATTTTCGCCCCAAAGCCCCAGTAGATAGTTGTATGTCATAGTTGCACAGCTTTCTAGTTGCCGTATGTGGGACGCGACCTCAGCGTGGCCGGAGAAGCGGTGCGTCGGTGTGCGCCCGGGATCCGAAACCGGGCCGCCAGCATCAGAGAGCACGCACTTAACCGCTAAGCCACAGGGCCGGCCCTAAAATTTTTAAGAAGTCTGAAATTCTTCCCAGGTTTACTGCGTCCCAGTTAGCATTCGGAACTTGTTTGTATCAGATCCATTTAACACATTGGAATACTCTACTATCCAATAATTAGAAGTTAAATTTGTAAACCCAGCTTCCAAATGTAGCACCCTAACTTACACAATACACTGAAATCTGAGTAATCCGATCAGTAAAACAGAACCACTATTCTAGGAATCTGGCTTATAAAAAACTCTGAATAGTTAACTTCATTTTCAACCCACTATAAACAAAAGAAATTTCTTTTATCTAGTCTCGAAGGTCAAATGCCATAATGAATCCATGGGCAATCCATGCTCAAGGAAACGTGTGAACTCAGCATACTGTTGCTGCTGGAGAATCTGATATAATGAGTAATTCTGACTTTGCCAAACAGAAACACAAAACCTAGGAGTCAAAACACCATACCCTTTTCAAATATAATACAAATCAGGACTTGGTACAGAATGACTGTCTCATGTAGCACATCTTCCAGTTGTCAGCAAGATGCTTTGGGGCCTTGCTACCCAGGGCTTGCTTCTACAGTCCTAAAAGCAAAATCAGCAACACCTGGGAGCTTGTTAGAAATGCAGGCTCTTGGGCCCCACCCAGGACCTACTGAATCAGAGTCTGCTGTTGAACACAATCCACGGGTGACTTGGTTTTACTTTAAGAGTTTGAGAAGCAGTGCTTTGAGATTAAAAAGGATTAGGAAAATTTCTTTAAAATTATAGAAACATTAATAGGAAGTAAAGAGGAAGGACAAAGGAGAATGAATTAGTGGCTCCCTCTGAGTGGTGGGTCAGTAACATTAAAAGATCTAGCCTAACTGATCTTATAATTAGTTGGAGCTGAAATTAATGAGCATTAAAAAAAATCAGTAAAGAACAGCAGGATTCAGATTAGAGAGCAGCCAGAGTATCCCAAGAGAGGATGTCCAAAACTAAGGCAAGATGGAAATAGCTTCTGAGCAAAGTCTAGCTAAATCAAAACGTTCCAGCAGGGAAGTGATGGGCTACATAAAAGGAAGGTTGAATCCAGACTCTAAAAGAATGCGAGTGCCAGAGAAATACAGGCAACAGAGAATCAGTAACACGGTTAAAAGTTATCGTTTATCAAGTATCAACTATGTTCTAAGTGCATTACAACGCAAATAAAACATGATTTTCAAGAAAGCTAGGTTATTTTCCTATAGAATCCCTAATCTTTTAACTTTACAAAAAAAAAGAGTATGTCTGTCTCCTCACCATCTCACAGATGAACAGAAGCTCAGACACAGATTAAATAACTTGATCAAGGTCATAGAGGTGATAACTAGTAGGACCAATTTAAATACAAAACCTAGTACTCCAAAGCCCCCAAATTCCTTCCACTGTACCAAAGATAGGCTAAGGGTGTTTGAAAAGAAAACATATTGTAAAAAGAGTATTTAGGATAAGTCCATATGATGTATTAAATGGGGCTGGAGGTACGGAAAGCAATTAAGGAAGCTACTGTAAAAGGCATAAAGGATGCCTGACAACAGGATCTGAACAGCAGAAGTTTTGAAAGAATTCAGATGCATACTGGGGGAGGGGGGTGCGGAGGAAGGAAAAAGATGCCTGTAGTCTGAGCTTGGATGACTTGAGAAAATGCTCTTACCAAACAGGGCAGTCCAGAAGATCAAGGCAGTGGACTACAAAACTAACAGGACAACTGACTATTGCTTCAGGACATACATACTAAGAGAAAGCAAAGGGGCTACCTAATGAATTAGCAGGTAAAAACATGATTCTTAGAACATCTTTAACTCAACAAAGTTAAATAACTCGCCCTCCTGACAACCTGTGTCATTCATTAGACCATATTCAACAGTAGCTGATAACAGCAGTGTACAACGTGCGGAGTCTCACGCATCTGAGCACAACCCAGGAAGGGGGAGAAGTACCCCCTTGGGAAGAGGTAATTTTAAAGAGCCAGAAGGCGCTGAAACATAGACCCTGTATCCCGTTTGAGAGGGAAAGAAAGTCACAAAGCAGACAGCACAGCTACTGTCGGGAAGGTAATAATAAAATGTCCTGGGCCCTTTCACGACTTGAGAACACCTTGGATCCTGCTCTTACACAATAAAACAGACGATTAACCCAAATAACAAGATTTGGTTTTTCACTTATGACCCCAAAAGCCTTAAACTCAGGCAACCTGAGACTTCTGATAGCAATCACACCGTTTTATAACTATTTTATGTGCCTGATGTATGCTTCTATGCTTCTATCCTTCTAAGCTTCATGCTTCTATCCCTTGAACCTAACCAAGCGCTGAGGACAGAGCCCTCCCTCCATAGATGCTGAATGTATGAATTTCTGTTCCTAGCTTTCCGGAGGACACATGCTACTCTATTTTCCCGATAATGTTTGCCCAGCCCCCCTCCCCCAGGGAGAATTCCAAGCACCGAAAAGAGGCTCCTGCCTACAGGCGCTCACCTAGGCCATTTGGGTAAATCTACGTTCCTGCGATCTAGGATGCTCGGCCCTGCGGACACATCTGACCATATAAACGACGCCTCGAGAGGGGCGCCCCTCGGAAATCCAGCTCCCCTGCTCAACCAGAACAGGGCGGGAGGCGCAGGGAGCGCCCAAGATCACTCGGCGGGCAGAGGGGACGAGCGCTGACCCCGCAGCAGGTCGCTGGGCCCCGGGTGGGGGGCAGGCCCGCGGTCCCTCCAACCCAGCCCTGGACCTCCTCACCCCCCCGCCCCCTGCAAGGTCACCAGCGCTGGGCGGGGCGGCCTCACGCGGCCTGGGGCGGAGAAACCTGCGGCGGAGCCGGGCCTGCCCCTCGGGGACGGACAGGGCAGCGCGGGACCGTGGGCAGGGGTGGAGCGGATAGGCCCAGGGCAGACTCACCACGGCTCCCGCGCGTACTCCTCCATCTTGGCTCCGGCGGCGCGAGGGGTGCCGGGAAGACCGGGCTACCGTGTGCTGGTCACGGCGGAAGTGATCCCGAGAGGCGGGCGTTGATATCTACGGGGATTGGCTCCTCGCTGCCTCCCGCAGCCAATGGGAGCCGGACTCCGGCGGGCAGGGGGCGGGGCCGCGGGGCGGATAGGCCCCGCCCAGGTCCTCGCAGGGGATGGGTCTGGCCGTGTGAGCCGGGCGTGCGAGCCCGCGGGGGCAGGGTCTGCGTTGATATACACGTGGTCGCGTTCCTCTAGGGCTCGCCCGGCTTCGTGAGGACAGTTCATGATTTGTGAAGCTCCCACATGTAGCTGCTTAGGGCAAACAGTGTCCTCCTCCTTCATAGTCGCAGGGCTTGGAATGTAGTAGATGGTCACTAAATGTTTGTGACCAGGAACCACCAGGGCCGTCTGGAGTGCCCTGCCGATTTGGGAAGAGCGAGAACACGGCCTCTCCGGGGCTCCCTCCAACGATCAGCAGAAGATGTGAGGGGTGTTTAGCCCAGAGAAGAGGAGACCAAAATGATGGGGACCCACTGGCCCGTTTTAGCCTACAGTCAAGCAAACCTGTCATGTGATGGCTGTTAAAGGAGCTCTTCTCCATTGTGCACTTTTGAGATTGACTTTAAAGTATGTTTGTATTTATTTTATGGAAAAGTTAGTGTAATAAATAATAGGAAGCTGCAGGGAAGAGAGAGCTTCCCTCCAAAATCTTGGAAATAAGGTGAGCAGATAACTGAACCCTTGGTAGAACTGAAGATTGTCAGTGAAATGTATCTTGTGTGTGAGAAGAACAGTTCAAACTAGTCGTCTGATTTGGATATGTAAGCTCGAGGAGTCCTTTTTGGAATGTGTGACTGTAATTAGGAACGCTTCAATCTAATTAATTGTACAGGCTGAGGAGAGAATGTGGGAGATGGGCAACATGGAACCCAGAAAGAGAAACAAACGCAGAACAAGAATTTGATGTTTAGTCCGCACTCCAAATCTAGTAGTATAAACATTTCAGTAACTGGAGAGTTGCATTCTCATGGGGCGAGGATATTTCTTTCTGGTCTCACCAGGATTCAGAGAAATATCCCATAGCTCTAGCCACCTCCCTTTGCCCTTATTCCATATTCATTATGCAATCTTCTGGTAGTTGTTGGTTTCTGAATACATTTTCCTTTAGGAGAAAACACCCTGGCCTGTGCTCGTAATTGTCCTTGTCCATTTGGTAGTTACATTGGTTTATGCATTTGCCTCTTGTGAGCTCGGTTCTTTTGAATCAAATCAATCACTAGGAATGGTGATAATTCTGAGCTTACAAAGCTGGAGGCCAGCTCTAGGCTGTGCTCAGCCAGCTCACTTCTTTCCACAGTTCCTGTCCTAAAGGAGCTTACTGTTCCGGGAGGCAGTGCTCAGGGGGCCAGCGAGCTTGCTTAGACTTCTCTCCCTCTGCTTTCTTGTAACAGCAACAGAGAACAGGGTGTAACAGGACATTTTTGGCTAGGCAAGGCCTAGGACTTAGGCCTTTGTTGGCTAGAGGAGGAAGATGTCACCCTTGCCTCAAAAATATCCATTTCCATCTTGGAAGAAAAGAGTTTGGTACTCTAATCTCTTCCTAGTGAGTCTTAAAGGAGCCTGAGGAACTGCATGGCCCTCCCTGAAGGAATGGTCAATGATATGAAGGAATGATAGAAGAAAGGCGTAGGGGTCCTTGAGGGAAAACTTAGCATAAAGGAAGGGGAGTGTGAGCTGGTAGTCCCACACACTGGGGTCTGTTTTGGTGAAAGTCAGTGTTCTGGGCCCAGTGTGAGGGGCTGCTGCTGAAACCCCTGTGAGCCAGGTCCTCTGGGGATTGCTTTGGGGAAAATAGGTCCAGTGTGAACGGAAAGAGCTGTGGCTCCCAGGGCCTGTTGTGTGATTTCCCCAGCCAAGCCGGTAAAGGCAGGAAGAGATGCCCTGGTGCCTTGGGAACCCCAGGGTGGATGAGCTCATGAGGTGCTGAGTCTGGCAGTTACTCTGGTGCCTTTTTCCCCACCCTACAGTAATTTCCCACCCTTGCCATCCCCCGCCCCACAATTAGCTTTCATTCATCTTCCACTCTTGGACAGGTAGACTAGTTCCTGTTTTCTTGGGGGAGGGGCCACTGATAGAGGCTAGGATTGGAGAAAGATGGACATCTGATAGATGTTAAGGGTGCACAGGTGATGCTGGACGGAGAGAGTAACTGGAGGGATTCAGAACCCCAAGTCCATGAGAAGACCCTTACTGTGTGCTCAGGATTGTCCTTAGTTTTAAGATTGAAGTGGAAAAAATACAAAGAATAGTTACATGGTTTCTACCCTCAGGGTCTTCAAAATGTACTTGGGGAGAAAGAATGTGATCTTGAGAAATAATTGTTGGGTCAAAATTCTAAAATGCCAACATGTGTGCCATAAGACATGATGAATACAGGAGGTGGTCACAGAGGAGAGAACCTTGGGAGCTAGAATGTGCTCGCAAAACTTTAGTGATCAGCCGGCAGTTAAGCTGTGGCCTGAAGAATGGCGGGATGTTGGAAGGTGGAGAGGAGAGAGTAAGGCATTCATGGTAGAGGGGGCGACAGCACTGAAGGCATGAAGGCAAGGGTGACGTGGTGCTGTCACTGGATGGGTTGCTGACCCCACTGGGAGAGTAGAAAAGACTAGAAGCAGAGAGAATGAGGCTGTGTCAAGTGATGAAGTTCTAGGGCAGTGGAAGTGGAGAGTGTCAGAAGCAAGGCTGGAGGAGTAAGCTGTGTGCTAGGAGATGTCCTCCGAGACCTGTCATGTTTCTACACATCAGCGTTAGGAGCTGACGTCTTTCAGATGGTGACTTCCTCTGGGGCAGCTTTATTTACATTACAGGATAGTAAAGGAGAAATGGCTCCCGTCCCTCCCTGGAGTAGATTTGTTTTCCTTCCAGGATAATAAAGATATATTAAAGTCTTATCTACTTTTTTCCAGTAGCTGAGGGAGTTCATTCTAGAAGGAGACAGTCTTTTCAGTAGACAGTGAGGTCATAGGGTGAAGAGCAGGCTTTAAATAGCTTCTGTGGGGAGTGTGCAAGTGAGTGAACCACAGATGAGCACAAGAACCTGGAATCCTCCTTTCTTCCCAGACCCGACCCACGGAGGAAGGGGCTGGATGTTCTCAGAGCCTGCCCCTCCTGACACGCAGTGCTTAGCACCTTAGAGGCTAGCTTGGTTGAGCTCCACTGAGCCAGAGGCCTTGGGGGCCTAAAGAGCCCATCCATCAGGAGGTCACAGGCCACGTATGTGGCTCCTTGCCCCCTGGTGCCACCTGTTCCGGTCACCAAGAAACTCAGATGGGCATGGACAGTAAGGCTCGTTTCACAGCCAGCTCCTGGGTTTGGGGTTCCATCTGTGACTGGGCCTACTTGGTGGGCAGAAGGGTGTTGCCTGGCCAGGGTCGGAGTTGGGGGCGAGGCAATCTCTTGTCTCTTTCTCCCCTCTTTTCCCTCCCCCTGCTGTCCCTTCAGGGAGACATTAGTCTGGCCTGTGCTCTGTCTCAGAGCTCTCCTCTGCCCATTTCTGCCCATCCCAGCAGTGCGGGGCCAAGCCAGTGGCTCACTTCCAGAGCCAAGTCTGCTGCTCTGGAAAAACTTCCAGCCTCCCCAGAAGAAGAGAACCAGTGTGATTATTTATTGAGTAGTAACACATAGATGCTTACAACATGTCTGATGCTGTTATGCACTTCACATGCTCTGTCTTATTATCGTCTTCTTCTCTTATTCACTATGTTTGGTAACTCTGTAGCCCTGTGCAGTAGGTACCTTTTTCTTTAGGTAGGTGCTGGTACGATCTCCATCCTCTATGTCCTAAGACTCAGAGAGGTTAAATAACTTACCCAAGGTCACACATCTCAGATTTGAGCCTATGTCATTTGACTCCAGAGCCGGTGGCCTTATCTGCTATGCCATACCACCACCCTATATTCCTAAAGATGTGACCTTCCTGGGGTCATTCAGCCAGTTGAGAACCACCCTAAGCGTTAGTGAAGTTGGTCCTGGTTCCCTATATCCCCACCTCACGTATGTTGGCTGGAGCCTGGGGTCTCTTTTCCCTCCTTACTCTACCCATCCCTCTAACACAACATTTCTCTGGGGAATAGGCCACACCAGAATCCCGTGATACTCAGGATGAATCTGTTTCAGGTGGAAGTGGATTCTGAGCTTGGAGAACGGTTGCCCCTGCAGAGTGGGTGGGGCAGAGGTCCCGCACAGCAGGGGCTGGAGGAGGCTGTACTCTGGGCTCTGGATTGCCAAATCCTCCAGCCCCAGCTGTGATGCCTCTCTGGGGAAGAATTTCAGAGTCTGCGGGCAGTCCCTGGGGCTCTAGGGAGCCAAAGGCTTCAGACCGGCTCGTCACAAGAGCCAGCTGTTTGGAATTGTGGGACCTGAGTCAAAGCAGACACAGGGACTTACATGCAGAAACGTTTGGTTAGGAGACCACGAGTCCTGCCCTGTAAGTTTGGAAGCTGTGGATTTGTTTTTTGAGTGTGCTCCTAGAGCAGAGACTCCTGGACCCAGAAGAGAAGGCCGTGGGAACCAGAGATGCAGGGCTGACCCGTTGCTGAAGGGGGTCTTTACATTCAGGTCCTGACTCCTCTTCGGGAGAAGTGAACATTTTTGGCAAAAAGCCTGAGAAAGCATGAGAAAGCAGAGTCCTTGGAGCCTGGGAAGAGAGCTGACTAGGGGACTGGAGGTTGGTGGAGGTGGCTCCAGACCCAGGGGCCCCAGGAGACGATGCCTGTTCTAGAAAGCCCCTCTGGGCAAGTGTGAGAGAGAAGAGGCTGACCTGAGGTGGGGCGGGGGCAGGAATAGGGTGAGAGACCTGCTGTGCAGGAGGTTGGCGGAGGGTGCAGGAGGGCCCTTTCTGCCAACATGTCTGACTAAGCCCACCCCAGGCTAGCTCAAGCCCTCTGGGACGCCCTCTGGATACCCACCCTGACTCCTCCCTACAGAATTCATGTGTTGCCCGCTG